TGACTTCTTTCACGGCGCATTTATCATCTATATATAGTAGGGCTACTGATTTTTTTGAGTTAATCTTGTATAAACATTGCTGAAGGTGTTTATCAGAAGTAGGAGTTCCCCGGAAGACTTTTTCAGGGTCACTTATATAAACTATCATATCATATGCAAATATTGAATGTTTGACTTCTTCCTTTCCAACTTGAATCCCCTGATCTCCTTTTCTTTCCTTATTTCTCTAGCCTGAACTTCAAGAACAATATTGAAGAGGTATGGAGAGAGTTGGCAGCCTTGTCTTGTTCCTGATTTTACAGGAATTGCCTTGAGTTTCTCTTCATTTAGTTTGATGTTGGCTGTAGGCTTGCTGTATATTGCTTTTATCATGTTTAGGTATGTTCCTGTTATTCCTAATCTCTCCAAGACCTTTATCATGAATGCATGGTAGATTTTGTCAAAGGCTTTTTCAGCATCTAGTGACATGATCATATGGTTTTTCTTTTTCAGTTTGATTATATGGTGGATTACATTGATGGATTTTCATATGTTGAACCATCCCTGCATCCCTCAGATGAAGCCTACTTGATCATGGTGGATGATTTTACTGATGTTTTCTTGAATTTGCTTTGCCAGTATTTTATTTGCTTCAATGTTCATGATGGAGATTGGTCTGTAGTTCTCTTTCTTAGTTGTGTCTTTGTGTGGTTGGGGGACCAGGGTAATTGTAGCCTCATAAAAAGAGTTTGGCAATGACCCGTCTGCTTCTATTGTGTTGAACCCTTTGAGGAGTATTTGTATTGGCTGTTCTTTGAATTTCTGGTAAAATACTGCACTGAAACAATTTGGCTCTCAGCTTTTTGTTGTTGTTGTTTTGTTTGGAGACATTTGATAACTCTTTCTATTTCATTAGGTATTATAGGTCTTATTTAAGTTGCTTATCTTTGATTCAGTTTTGGTAAGTGATATCTATCCAGAGAATTGTCCATTTCCTTTAAAATTTTCAATTTGTGGAGTACAGGTTTTCATAGTATGACCTAATTATTCTCTGAATAACCTCAGTGTCTATTGTTATGTCCCCCTTTTCATTTATGATTTTGTTAATTTGCATATGCTCTCTCTGCCTTTTGGTTAGTTTGGATAAAGGTTTGGCTATCTTGTTGATACTCTTGAGAATCAAGTCTTTGTTTCATTGATTCTTTCTATACTTTTCTTTGCTTTTTACTTGATTGATTTCAGCCTTCAATTTGATTATTTCCTAGAGTGTACTCCTGGGTAAGTTTTCTTCTTTTTGTTCTAAAGCATTCAGGTGTGCTGTCATTTCTCTAGTGTGACTATTCTCCAGTTTCTTTATAAGGGCACTTAGTACTATGAAATTTATCCTTAGCTCTACTTTCATAGTGTCCCATAAGTCTGGGTATGTTGTGTCTTCATTTCATTTGAATTCTATGAAATCTTTAATTTCTTTTTTATTTCTCCCTGGCCTACAAGTGATGCAATTGAGCATTGTTGAATTTTCTTGAGCTTTTAGGTTTTTGGCAATTTGTGTTGTTGTTAAATTATAGCTTTAAGCCATGGTGATCTATAAATATATGGGGGATTATTTCAGTTTTTTGGTATCTGTAGAGGTTTTCTTTATTAATTAGTATGTGGTTGATTTTAGAGAAGGTTCCATGTGGCACTGAGAAGGTATGTTCTTTTGTGTTTGGATGGAATGTTATAGCTGTTGGTTAAATGCAAATGGGTATAACAAGAACTTGGAGACTATAAAAGGGAAATCGAAGAAGATTCCAGAAAATGGAAAAATGTCCCATGCTCTTGGATAGGTAGGATCAACATAGTAAAAACAGCAATTTTACCAAAAGTAATCTATAGATTCAATGAAATCCCCTTCAAAATCCCAGAACAATACTTCACAGACCTTGAAAGAACAATACTCATCTTTATATGGAAAAAACCCATGGGAGCCAAAACAGCCCTGTGCAATAAAGGTAATTGTGAAGGCAACACCATCCTTGATTTCAAGTTCTACTATAGTAATATAGTAAAGAAAAGAGTTTTGTATTCATACAAGTACAGAGAGGTAGACCAATGAATGGAAATAAAAACCCTGATATTAATCCACACACCCATGAATATCTGATTTTGATATTCATGAATGTCAGAGAAGCTAAAATTATACAATGGACAAAAGAAAGCATCTTCAACAAACAATGCTGGCATAACTGGATGCTGACATGTAGGTATTGCAGATAGATCCTTATCTATTGCCATTCACAAAACTTAAGTTCCAATGGATCTAACAACTCAACATAAATTCAGCCACACTGAACCTCTTAGTGAAATGTACCATTGAATAAATTGGTACAAGAGATCACTTCCTGAACGTAACTACATTAGCACAGACACCGAGATCGACAATTAGTAGATGGGAACTACTAAAACTGAGAAGCTTCTCTAATGCAAAGGACACCATCAACAAGATAAAATAGAAGTCCACAGAATGGAAAAAGATCTTCAACAACCTCACATCTGGCAGAGGACTGATTTCCAAAATATACAAAGAAGTCAAAAGCTAGTCAGCAAAACACATATTTGTCAAATTAAAAAGTGGGGTACAGAATTAAATAGTGAATCCAGAAAAGAGGAACTTAAAATAGCTGAAAAACTATTAATAAATTGCTCAACATCCTTAGCCATCAGGGAAATGCAAATCAAAGCAAGTCTGGGATATCATCTTACACAAGCCAGAATGGGTAAAACTTAAAAAAACACCTATGGCAGTCTGTGCTAAAGAGGATGTGGAGAAAGGGGAACACTCCTCTACTGCTGGTAGGAGTGCAAACTTGTGAGGCCACTTTGGAAATCAGTATGGTGGCCTCTCAGGAAAATGGGAATCAGTCTACCTCAAGATCCATCAGTTCCACACTTAGGCATATATGGAAAGGATGCACATTCATACAACAAGTATATCTGTTCACCTACGTTCATAGCAGCATTCTTTGTAATAGCCAGAACCTGGAAGTAACCTAGATGCCCCTCAACTGAAGAGTGGATAAAGAATATTTGGTAAATTTACACAATGGAACAAAACGAATGAAATCTTGAAATCTGAAGGCAAATGCATAGAACTAGAAGAAACCATTCTGAATGAGGTAACCCAGTCAAAGAAAGACTAGCATGGTATGTACTCACTCATATATGGATATTAGATATAGAACAAAGGACTACCAGCCTACAATCCCCTCCTCCAGAGAAACTAGGAATCAAGGAGGACCCTAAGAGAGACACATGGACCCCTGGAGAAGGGTAAAGTGACAAGAGCTCCTGAGCATGGAGGGCAGGATGGGGGAAGGTGGGAAAAAGAGAAGGCAAGAAGAGGAGGGGGAGAGGAGAACATGAGGGATCAGGAAGACTGAGCTCAGGGAAGAATAGTGGAGAGCAAGAAAAGATACCTTGTTAAAGGGAGCTATAATAAGTTTAAAGAGAAATCTTGCTCAAGGGAAATGACCAGGGACCCATAAAGATGACCCCAGCTAAGAATCTAAGCAATAGTAGAGATGCTACCTTAAATTCCCTCCCCCTATAATGAGATTGATGACTACCCTAAATGCCAATCTAGAGCATTCATGCAGTAGCTGATGGATGCAGAAGCATACGCTTACAGCTAAGCTCCTGGAATCCTTTTAGAGAAGGAGAAGGGATGAGAAAAGAGGTCAAGACCATGAAGGAGAAACCCACAGAGATAGCTGACATGACGAAGTGAGAGCACAGGGATCCCAGTCATAAAGAGGAGAACCAGCACTGGAGCAAACTAAGCCCTCTGAATGTGGGTGCTAGTTAGGAGGCCCAGGCAATCTATGAGGCCTCTCAAAGTTGAATCAGTATTTATCCCTAGTGCACAAATGGACTTTGGAAGCCCATTCACCAAGTAGGGTTACTATCTGAGCCCACATACACAGAGGAGGGCCTAGGCTCTACCCCAAATGATGTGACAGTCTTTGATGATTCCCCCATGGAAGGCCTCACAATCTTGGGACATGGGTGTGGAATGGGATGTGTGGGTCGGTGGAGGGCATGTGAGGATGGGAGGGAGAGGTAACTGGGATTGATATCTAAAATAAGATTGTTTCTAAATTAAATAAATACATTTAATTAAAAAAACCCAAATACTCCAATTATTTTAAGTGATGCTCAGCCAAAGAACTTTGATACCTTCCTCTTCACATCCTGTTTTGCATGTATGTATGTGGGTATGCAGATGTGTGTGCATAATCAGAGGCATATATGGAAGAGAATGTATGTACTTGTACATACACATATGTGGAAGTCAGAGGTGAACTTTTGGTGTTATTTGGAAGATAACAAGCTTGCTTTTTGAGAAGGGGAAATGGGACTCACTAATTAGGCTTGGTTGGGTGTCCAGCAATATTGAAGAATCTCATGTTCTGTCTCCCCAGTATTGGTATAACAAGCACATACCACCATGCCTGGCCATTATATACATACCAGAGATTAGATTTAGGTTTCAAGTTTGTGTGGCAATCACTCAAGTGAAGGAAACATCTCTCTAGCACTCACCCTTGCATTCTCTACCCTTCACAGTATGTAGTCCAGCACGATGTGTTGGGAACTGTGTTTTCTTTCATTTCTTAATTAAATTGTATGCTACTCTCAGAACAAGTACACTACTAAAATACATTTATTATTTAAATCATGAAGAAGAAAAATGACAATGAATTATATTATTACATTAATTATATAACAGTAAAGTTCTATTTTAGCTCAAGACAAGAAACATTAGCCCAAGGGACAATAACACTGTTCAAAGAATAGAAAATAGCAGTATATTTGTGCAGTGACTCGAGAAATTTCAAAATTATTGACAGGTGTTTCTTGGGATATGACAGAATGGGAATAGATAAGAGGGGAGGAAGGACACTTTGTCCCTGATGGAATGAAGGTCTAGAGGGGATTGCAGAAAACAACAGAGTCTGGGCCAGGAAGCCTAATCTTCTTTACACTGGAATGAAGCAGAGCTTGTAGGGGGGTGGCAGAGAGCCAAATCCATTTAGCGCTGGGGTTGTATCTATGTCCTTTGGTTGAACCAAAGATTTCAGCTTAAAGTTCTGTAAAATGGTGGTCAGGAATAGAAACAGCTCCATATGTGCCAGACCCTCTCCTGCACACATCCGTTTTCCTAGGGGAAAATGTCAAAAGAGATTATTATTATTGTTTGAAAATGTGAGAATCACTGTACTTGTAACTGACACAGAGGCTATGAATGAAGGGTAAGTTATTGGCTGGGGTGGTAGAAAGATGGCTACATGAAAGAACAGATACCTAGGCAAATAGAAAAATGTGGAACAAAGTGGTTGTCCAATTAACCTACACTATTGAAAATTACATTGTTTAAAAATACTTTTTAGTTAGGTGTGGTTGTTCACATCTGTAATCAGACTGCCTTGGAGACTGAGGAAGATGGATTCTGTGTTCATTATCAAAAATAACAAAGCTAATATATCAAACATATCAAAACATATCAAAAATAACACATACAATGGCAGCATGCACAATGAAGATGCTGACTCAATATCCCTTACTCTCACCCTGAATAAGAAGGAACAGGGTTCTCGATCATTTGTGCTGACAGAGTGTCCTGCCACATCGACAATGTCTCCATCATCTCATGAGATCTAGAAGCTTCTGTCATTCTGAACTGTGTAAAAATGCTCTAATCTAATATCTCATGAACTTCTTTTAATGATATGTGACTTCTTTTTATAATTCTTCATTACCCATGCTTTGAGGAAGCAAAGAATTCATGTATTATAATGCTGCTCCATTTTTGGCATTAACATATAAAGTTTGTGTGATAAATGTGCTGATTTATTCATAATAATCCAGAGATCTGGGAGACCTTCTCATTGCCCTAGTCCAATTGATAATTGATAAGTATTGTTCATTCAGGTGTTTACGAAGGCCACTTGAGACTTTGAAGAAGTGTCTGTGTATTTGGCGACATGTAATTACATAGTTGACCAAGAAGGTGATTGACACAGCAAAACAGACACGAATGTAAGTTATAATGTCTCCATTTTCATTGTGAATGAAAAAAAAAGTTTAAATGGAGTTTGCTTTCTTTGGTATTACTGTGATGTAGCTAAAGGAAGAAAACAAATAGTCTGCATTCTATCTTTCTCAATTTTGAACAATGATTAAACAATCAAGGCTTCATTTCAATATCCTGACATGGAAGGAATCTCTTTTTCATGACAATGCATGAACACTGAAAATCATACCCCTGATCATTGCAAGTCTTCTGGCCATTAGGGAGCCACTATGTAAGCCTTCACAGATTCTCATGTCAATGGATTCATGGAAATGAATTTCTCTCACCTATTGAAAAAGGCACGAAGTAGTCACTTTTCTTGAAGTTTCCATCCTTATCTAGAAAGTGGCCAGGGTCAAATACCTCTGGGTTGGGGAATTCCTTGCTGTCAAGCAGCACTGATGTCAGTGATGTGATTACCATTGTTCCCTATAACAACACACAGAGAGAAATCAAGGTACAAAAAGATCATAGGGCTAAAACACATTAGGGAAATAACCTAGTTCACTTTCAGCTCCATAGTTGGGATAAGATTCAAAGAACAGTAGGAAACTTTTAACACAGAGAGCAGATTTGGAGCATGGAAGATTTTGAGGCCAGGCATAGTGGTGAAGCTAAAGAGCCATCAGTGACATTTCACATGAGTACTTAAGCTAAAACTCCTGAGTCTCTTCTTCCTTTCCTTCAGATTAGACTCATGCTTCTCTGACTACTGTCTGATATAACTCATCACATCTGTCTATATACCCCACATATGAATAATGTTCCAGATGGAATAGTTCATTGAGTGTTTTGAACAGAATAGGAGACCATTCATTAAGAATAATGTGGAAAATTTGGGAAGAAAAATATGACTCCTTTCTTCTCATTTACAGAATCGATCCATCTATCTGTCTATCTAGATATCTATCTATCTATCTATCTATCTATCTATGTGATAAGAAGGTAAGTGTAGGGCTAAGTACCAGAGTAGATGTGTGCAGACATGTATCCAATCTATCTATATGAATGCACAGAAACAAGCAAAGAAATGCACATATGTCTGTGTATCACATGACAGGATGAAGACTATTTGGGAGAAGGAAAGGAAGTAATGGAATGGGAGGATATGGAGAAAATAAAATAAAATCCAAATAAGATGAAGGGTAAGTTATGATGTCATGATCTGATGACAGCTGAATCAATATAACTTCGGAATATATACAGAAATTGCTGTAGCTGGTGTTTACAAGGTCTTATCAACTATCACAAAAACCAACCTTATATTATGTCAAAGTTTCTGTGATCATGGTCTAAAAGCTTTTACAGGGTGGCCACACAAATTAGAATGTGGCTAAACTAAATACGTTTATGTTATTAAACCAAAAAGACTGACATGTCTAAATTACATGAAAATTAAATTCTAGTGTCAATAGGACTTGAATGAATTATACCCATAAGCATCTGTTTACATGCTGCCTGTGACTGCTTCTCTGCTATAATGACAGCATCTCTAAAGGGCCATCACATTTCTTATGACTAGAAAGCCTGAAATCTACCAGAACAATTATGGACAAGATCATTGGTTCCTTCATATCTTATTAGTTCTGTTGAGATCAGTGACTCCATTCTGATAAAAAAAAAAAAACCACTTATCCAATTTTCAGAAGGGAGAATCAGCTGTGAAATAGCCAGATGTTTCATAAAGGAAAAGAATGCTATATTCTACTGGAATAGACCCCAAAGACACCAGTCATAACATCATCCACCAGCAGAGGACAATGGGATATAAGTTTAGCTGAGGCAATACTCCCCTTAAAATGGGCATTAAACCAAAGGAACCTATGAGAGGATATACTGTTCTAAACTTTTTCTTTGTTCAACTTATCATTTAGTTGGGATAATGACATAAGCCTAACCCAGTTTTATATATTAGCCATAGGCCTCAACAGTCTTAACTCAGGAGTGTTATTTTTAGCCAAACAGAGCACACTTGCCACCGAACCCATATACTAAACCTGTTTTCACAAATCCATTTCTGCATGAAAAAATTAGTTCCTTCATCACTACATAATGTTAGTAACTGGAACCTTACCAATGTCTTTTTGACAGACCCCACTCTGAAGAAATACAAGACTTTCCAGGAGCGAGCAACTTCATCCTTTATGAATGAAGATATTCTTATAAAAATTCTGAATTTTTCATCAGTAGTATCTGGCACACAATAAGAAATTTTATAGTGTCTTCAATGTAGAACTAAGTGGCCACAGAAATGAAATAAGTACAAACAGAACCAAATCAGGGAATGTTTTTAACTTAGTTTTGTGCCAACAACTTGGTTTTAATACAAAAATTCTACCAACCACGAGGAAGAAAAAAATATGGACAGAATTTTGTTAACATAGAAGTCATAAGAATTATGTGGTAGGGAAAAACCAATATACTTATATGTTTGCAACATGTACAGCCAGTGATCAAAAAGGAAATAATACATAGAACCAAAAATGGGTTCAGAGGGCTGTTTTGAAAAAAATGGACAGACTTTTGAGAATAAAAATGATCTCAATGTAAAACTCTGTTTTCCTGGGACATGCTCATTTATAATTGGATCCCGATAAAGTGCCTCTTGTATCCTTATGAAAATTAGAAAAAAACTTTTCATCTGATCTACACAACTATCTTTGTATTCCTAAAACATCAAACTTGATAGGGAGATATTAAACTTACAATTGTCATTCTCATGAGAAATGTGACAAGTTATGTGCTGTGGAATAATCCTTTTGCACACTGTGAAGATTTGCCACACAGATAGACTAATAAAATGCTGATTGGCCAGTAGGCAGGCAGAAGTTGTAGGTGGGACAACCAAATTAGGAGAATGATGGGAAAAAGAAAGGGCAAATAAATGATTGAATGAAGTAGCTTTATTATGGAGTTAAAAAAATCAGGATATAGATTCTTTCCATTTTGAAGATATTTTTCTCATAATGATGAAAATCTAGAAAAGACTTTTAGGATTTTGACAAAATATTTGAACATTCAGACAGAAAAACCTAAGGTTGGCCCAACAGTTTTTGGAAGAGAGAGCAAATGTGGAAGTATCATTACCAGATATCTGTGTATCTGCAGCAGTGCTGCCTTCAGATCATGGAGCAGTACAAACCACAAGCAGCCCTGGGTGGCTCAGAGGACTGGAACCACACTGTGAACCTGGGAGCATCAAGAGGACACAGGGGCAGCAGAGAAGAGACAAGCTTACCTTAGGGATGTAGTAGTCCCTGAATTTAATGTCATTGGTCACTGCATGGGGCATATTGGTGGGGACCAGTTTTATGACTCTCTGGACCTCATGAACCGTGTCATCTGTGTAGGGCATATGGCTCCTGTCCTGCATGGAAGGGCTTCGGTCTCTGCCAACCACTTGATCAATCTCTTCCTGTACTTTAGCTGGTTGGTCACAGTGAGAAATGGAGGGATAGAAAAGTGACATTTTTGGCACAGTGTCAGGCCATACACAGCATAATGTAGGTGTTCTAAGAGAATTATAAATGTTCATTATTTCATTTAAGGGTAAAATTATTTATACATATATTTATGCAGAAATGCTGTATAGTAGGTTTATATTACTATCTTTCTGTATACATATTTTAATGTCTCAGCATATAATTTTTATTTAGTAGCCTTAATGGCAAATAAAGCATAAGTAATTAAAATTATCATGTAAAACAATGTAGTCACAATGTTTTAGACTGTGGTAAAGGACATGAGAAGTCAGATAGTAAATCTCTATCTAAATACAGAGTTCTCTTACAGTCACATTCTATTCTGTGTATATTTATGAGCTTGTGTATTTGTTGCATGTATACAATATAAGTCTTTTTTTTCTCACATCATATTGAACAAATTGAAACTCTTCAACTATTTCTGAAATCTATTCATATATTTTATATGCCCACATATGTACAACATTTATGTCTTTCAGAAATGGGAAATGGATTTTTCAGTTTTATCTACATCATCTATATGAACAAGCATATGCAAAACACATAACCTTCCCTTTAACCCTCACTTCATTGCCAGTAGCATATTGGGACCTCTTGAAACTGAAAAGCTTCTGTGTGGCAAAAGACACCATCATTAGGACAAAAATGGCAGGCTACAGAATGGGAAAAGATTTTTGGCAGCTACACATCTAATAGAGAGTTAATATCCAAAACATATAAACAATTCAAGCAACAAGACACCAACAAATCCAATAACCCAATTAATAAATGGGATAAAGTTATTAGCAGACAATTCTCAAAAGTTGAAACTCAAATGGCTGAGAAAAACTTAATAAGCTTAGAAATATGATCAAAAACCTTTGTCATCAGAGAAATGCAAATCAAAACTACTTTGAGATTTCATCTTACACCCAACAGAATGGAGAATATCAGTTTTTAAAAAGTGACAGCTCATGCTGGTGAGGATGTGGATCTAAAGGAATATTTGTCCATTGTTGGTGGGAATGCAAACCTGTACAGCCACTATGGATATCAATGTGACAAGCATTAAGGAAGGTGGGAACCAAGCTACATCATGATGCAGCTATACCACTCCTGGGGATTCATCTAACAATTGCTTCATCCTATCGCAGAAATACATGCTTGTCCATGTTCATTGCTGCATTATTCATAATATCCAGGAATTAGAAACAATGTAGATGTCACTAAACAGAAGGATAGATGGAATTTTAATGTGATACATTTATTCAATTAAGTCTTACTTAGCAAATAAAAAAGAATAAAATCATAAAATTCTCAGGTAAGTGGATGAATCAAGAAAAAACACCCTGAGTTATATAATCCAGACCCAGAAAGACAAATAAGGTATGTATCCACAAACATGGATATTACTTGTTAAATCAATGATAACAAAGCTGCATTCTCTAGAACCACAGAGGTTAGATGTAAGTACGTGGCTATGGATAACAGATAGATCTTGTTAGGAAAGGGAGTTCGAATAGATAAATATGGACATATGGGGGGAATTAATTGGGAAGGGAGACAGGCATGAAGGAGGGAATAAGGGAGAGACAGTTAAAATTCAAGACCATTTGAGGGATAGAATGGAATCTTAATACAGTAGAAACTTCCTAAATATATATTTGGAATATATATGAAGGTGACATAATGAAATAGCCAAATATTTAGGAGACAGAGCCCCAACTGAACATCCCTTGTCATCAAATGAAACTACTAGTACTAGGGTATCAAAAGCATTCTGTGAAATCCCCAAACAACCAAGGCTATTGCCAAGACAATGGGTTGCTCTCCACAAAATGACAGCTAGACCCCATTGATGAAGTAACACTTACACAATCTGTGAACATGGAGAAGTCAAACAAATGCCTATATAGAACCTTCACCCCTATGTTCCAGCATCTTAATACAAGAATGTACTCTGCATACTATCAAAAGAGAAATATAAACACCAACCCAACCACAAACCCGTTGATCAACAATGGAGTCTTGCCTCTATGACATGACAGGACAAATGTGGCATAAAACATGTGGGAATAACCAACCAAGAACTGAGTTGAATTAAGGCCAACCCCATGATATGAAACCCATTCCTGAAACTGCTTGGGTGGCCAATAATGGGATATTAGACAGCTCAGAAACCTATGGTAAAACCAAATTCTTCTTTTCTAAAAATAAAAAACAACATCAAAACAGCAATTAAATGACTCCTAATGAAACCATGATATACTCTTAGATCAGTGTCTTGCTTAGCCATCTTTAGAGAAGATTTGTCTTGCAGCAGGTGGCAAGAAACAGAGAAGCACTTTACTAGACATTATATAGAGAATGAGAGACCTTGTAATATTTAGCCCTAAGTAGAATGTCTCCATCAAATCCCTCATCTCAGGGATCAGAGAAACCTATTATATAGGAGGCACAAAAGTATGAACGAGAGGGGATGGAGAATATTAAGAAAACTGAGCCCTCTAAAGTCAAAATAATCAAAGAATATTTGAACTTACAGAGACTGAAGCAACATGCACAGGGCCTGGGTAGGTCTGCACAGTCTTTTACATATATAGTATGGTTTCCAGTTTGTTGCTTTTATGGGATTTGTTGTTGTATAAATGAATGGGTGTTGTTTCCTGTGCCTTCTCTTGTGTTCTTTTCCTCTGTTTGTTTGCCCGATTCTGATATATTTTGTGTCATAATATATATATATATATATATATATATATTATTATTATTATTATTTAGAAGCCTAATTGTTTTCTAGTGAGTCAGGAAAGAAGTGCATCTAAATGTGAGAGAGACGGGGAGTAACAGGAAGGAATAAAGAGAGGGGAAAGTATAATCATAACACATTATGCAAGGAAAAGTCATTTTAAATGAAAACAGGAGAACAGCAGTTTGGACTATAATACTTTGTTGTAACAATATCCATTGTTAGATTAATTGTAGTTACATATATATTATTAATTATCATGAAAATTATTATTGTTTTCCATTATTAGCATTGTTTTGATAAATGGATACATTCTTATTTTTTGTAATTTTCCATTTCCTGAGTTAGAATTATACTGGAAATTTAAATAGATATTTTTAAATTCTGGAAACATACACTTAATAAAATGAGCATTATACTACAAATTGTTTCTCTTTCATCCCTCACTGTATTTGTGAAACTCCTACAGGACTCACATGGTAAATACTGAATTGGGAGCTTCCTAGACCTGGTACTCAGCAACCTCTCTGATAACCTCACCTACCCATAAGAGCCATTCAGATACCTGGAGTCCATGACTTCCTGTGACTTTACTTCAGATATTAGTATGAAAAAACTTTCACACAAGTATCATGAAGAAATGGAAAATTGGATAAATCTATGGCAAACCCAGAGCTCTCATCTGTCTTGTATTTTATAAACTTACTAGAAGCCAGCAGATCTGGAGAATTCTGGTGTAGTCTTGATGAGAACAGTTTACATGTAACTGAGGGAACTCCCTGAAGGGTTTCATGCTTCTATTCAGTCTTAAAACTCTATGAGTCTGTTAGTTGGTTGTTTTGAATCCATTCAGATTAATACATAGAAAATATTTTCTATTAAGGTGGTAAAATAAGAAATGCTGATTTATTCCTTTTATCTAAGCCAGCTGATCTGGTGAATTCCGGTGTAATCTTGACAAGAATAGTTTACATGCAACTGAGGGATCTCTCTGAAGGGCTTCATGCATCTATTCAGTCTTAAAACTCTATGAGTCTGTCTTGGGTGAATGTTTTCAAAATATTCGGATTAATACATAGAAACTATTTTCTATTAAGGTGGTAAAATAAGAAATGCTGATTTATTCCTTTTATCTGGAGGATAGACCCTGCTGCTCACATTCTTTGAATAAAACAGAAAGGGCACTGACATGCACAATTCTGGGATTCAAATGTTGCCAGCTTCCTCTTTGATCCCCACACATTACTCATCCCTGTGAATCATAAATGTGTGAGGTACAGGACTTCTTTGACTTAGTTTCTTTTAATAATTTAGTTTCCAAGAGGGGGTTCACCTGCTGAATGGGAATAGGAAGGGAACATCAGCAAGGCCAGCATCCTGTAGATAGCATTGTTCTCTACTAAACTTCCATTGCGTTGGAACAAAAGTCTTCAGGGTCCTGTAGATACAGATTCAAAGGTAGTTTTTCTTACAACATGCATGTTTATCTAACATTTGTGTTTCAACGTCATATTTCCTGCTCTATATTTTTCTTATTCCTCATACTGTTGTTTCAGTAATTTGGTGAAGCCTTCTGGATTGCTTGTTGCTTTCTCTTCTTATCCTAAAAATATACATTTTGATACATATTTCTGCTTTTATCATGCAGTATATGTTGGGCACAGGAGAGAGGGTGTGTTTCATATATGCTGGAACACTGGAGCTATTTTAAAATACAGTGTACAGTGTAAAAGGAAACACTATTGGTACAGTTGAAATAAATCTTTGTTCAACAGAAGCTAAGGGTATGTAAAATTTCTTAATCTACATTTTCTGCATCAATGGAAAATGTTTTAGAGGATCTAAATATTTAGGATACTTCTCAAAGTGAACATTATCTCACACATTCTCAGAAATTTCTATACTTTCTGCTTACGCTTCAGAGAGGTGAGTTTTCTTTTCTCCATCCCAAAGTTAGATTCATCTGAATGAGGAAAGGAAACTAAAAGATTTTAGCTGATCTAAACACATGGATTTTAAGAAGAGAACATGTTTCCACAGGGCAATGTACCCTGGCCATGCCTGTAGCTGTTTACCCTCCAGAGAACTCAGACACGAAGCAGAATTTGATTGCTCTTCAGACAGTCAGAAACCATTTCTCTTAGTCATCTCTCCATTACAGCCAGTGAGTGGCACAGAAGGTGAAGCTCTGAGACTTCTCTAAGAATAACAACACACATGACACTAGAAGTGTCTTTCCACCACAAGACAGGAGCACTGTGGGTCACTACCTGTGTCCTTACCTGTGACATGTGGGTGCTTCAGCAGGAGCAGGAGAGCATATCTCAGCATTGTGCTTGTTGTCTCTGTCCCAGCAGCAAACAGATCACTCACAGTGATTGTCAGATTTTCAAGTGAAAGTTCAGATTGTTGATTGTGGATTGACTAAGAATAATTTGATGCCAAAATTTTATAAATTATTTATTAGCACATCTACCTAATGTCTGTACAGTTTTACAAAAGCTTATGTATTTGTTACTGAAAGTGTAAAATTTAAAATAAAACTCCATAGCTCCCATTCCAAATGGTTATTGTAGCTGTATAGAAGCTTACTGAGTTGTATACAGTTTGTTCTAGTTAACTTGACATGGTGTTTTATTTATGTACAAGTTTATTCATAATAAGACATCTACAAAATTTTTGTTTTACATTGGTGCCAACAAAGATCCCGGAAAATAGATTAGAGGAGAAATTATCATATGATTTCAAAGACTATGCACAGATTTTTATAACTTTCACGATTATTCCTGAGTATCCTAACTCTTGCATTGATGTGATTATCTTCGCATAAGTATATACAGTTTTGTACTTTTATGCCTTAAAAACATGAAGGAAACATTTATTCATTTTCTATTTCCTCCTATCAAAACCACATGAAGAAGAATGTGTGGTAGGTCTAATCTTGGGTTACATGACCCAGGACAAGTAAAAGGCTACATCCTTTTGATCCCTTGGCCAATAGAGCCATGTGTATCTTTAAGTATCACAGGTCATTGCCAATATCCTTGGCTAGTCTCCAGAACTTGACAGTAAAACCCCGTTTTGTTGATACTATATATTTCAGTCACAGAACACAAAGAAATCAATCTGATACTATTGGCTAGTATTTGTGGTGCTGGAATGTGCTATGTGTGCTACTGGGGGAGAAAAGTTATTCTCAGTCTCACCCAGCTGTGAACCTGTAAGTTACAACAATGTCTGCCCTGATAACAATGCCCAGTAGTGAAATAGTTACACCAATCCACTTTCTCATTTAATCTAAGACCCACTTCTTTATGTAAGACCCATATATACATGGTTAAAGAGGGTTACAATTGGTAGTCAAATCCATTAGTCCAATGGACTAATGGGCACAGTGTTAAAATGATCCTTAATGACATACTAATATATCCATAGATGAGAACTCTCTCACTTTTTCATCACAGAAAATTCTCCTTACAGAAGGTGACAATTAATACAGAGACACCCAACTGTTCAATGTGCAGAGAACAAAGTATTCTAACCTGATCACTCCTAAATCATGACACACTCCTCCCCAGAAGACTGAAGTATCTTGGAGAAGAGGGGACATTAATGTCAAGAGCCATAAGTGATCAATAACATCAAGGAAGCAATGTTTTCTGGACCCAAAAGGACAGATGAACATGAGACCTTGCAGTGACTGTGACCTGCCCAAAAACTGTGTAGGCTTCATCCAATAAAAACCCAGCACAAAGTGTAGAGAGGAAATAGGAAATCCAGCCTCTAGAAGATTAGCTTCTGGAATGGGAGAGTCAATTTCCTTCAATGATGTGACTCCTGGTAGGTTGACCATATGACAGGCCTGAGGTTAGTTGAGCAACAGAAAATGGACTCAGTGGTGGAAAGTAGGAAAAAACAGAAATGACAATGTTTGATAGGAAGAGATTAGAGGATGGAGTGGAGGATAAAAAAAGTTGAAGTTATGCTCAAATTGCATCATATGAGATTCTCAAAGAATAAACAAATATTGCAAATTAAATTAAAACAGATGTATCAAACATAAAACACTTTTTAAAAAAATCTTATTGAAGAGCTTCAGTGATGAAAGTAGTGAAGTGTTGACAAAAAATCCATATGAAACCCAAGAGAGCTTTGATAGCCGGGAATTAAAATAAACATCTATGACCAAGATTTTTACAACTGAGTTCCAAGATTGCTCCTTCTAAAGGAAGGGTCTTCAGCAAGTGATGACAGAACCAGCAATATAATTACATGAATAGAAACATTCTGGAAGAGTAAAATTGGGATAAGTTTCTGCTGGTGGTTGGTGGTACACAACTTTAATCCCAGTACAGGGGAGGCAGAGACTTGCAGATCTCTGTGAATTCCATGCCAGTCTGGTCTACAGAGCAAGCTCCAGGACAGGCTCCAAAGCAATACAGAGAAACCCCGTCTCAAAAAAAAAAAAATAAAAAACAAAAATACAATAGGAGTAAGCCTCATTCCTTCTGATTTGGACTTATAGATTTCAGAACAAATTACCAAAAACATAGATAAACCAGATTTCATCCATGACAAAAATAATACATTCATGACATAATTAAGAATGTGAAAAGGACAATGAACAGGATGTAAATATGTTTCCATGTCATTTATATGGAAATGTTAGTACCTAGATACACACACAATCCTGTAGTTCCATGGAAACAATGGAAAAAATATTGGAATAAAAATTCTCTGTAGACACAGGAAGACAAAACAGCACCGTAAGGAATGTCCATTTTCACTGTTTTTTTAAACTACCCATCAAATCTGTGCTGAAGTACCACTTCATACTCGCTGAGTTGATGTTCATAATAAAGTTTCAAAATTAGAACTCTTTGCACATATTTGGATCTCAAAGATACAAAAGAGTATATTAATGTGACTATTTTAGCAGTTGGTCAAGAAAGAAATGTATTATCAATTGACTCAGATACCCCATTCCTGGGGAAATAGACAGATAAAGTGAAAATAAGCTATAAAGAAATTTGTCCATGTATATATGAAGAGCCACAGGTAGAAATAACACAAAAAACAAAATATGAGTAATAAGTGCATTGTGCTATTAAATTATGAAAATGAATTTTGCTACAAAGAAAGTTGGAAGTGCTGAAACAAGGTGAATTTAGATGAACATTCAAGATTTTATGCAATTACAAGAAGGCAGTACTTTGTCCTTGCTTTGCATCACAGTGGTGTTACCAGGAGCACTTGTGCTTCATTGTTGTGAAAAACCTAATAAACCATTTTAAATGCCATATCTTGTAGGTCTTTGAAAGGTTTTGAAGAATACCTACCTATTTGAAATCACTCTACATCTAGAAAACCTAACTAACATAACTATTTCAGTGACTATTTGTAATCTGTACTTAAGCATACACTGCATTTACATAAACAAGGTTATAAATATACATATAACAAAAATGACCTTGAAATTTTATCAATAAAACAAAGTCCATACCAATACAAAGGATTAGTTTCTACAACATATTCCTTTTTTTATTTAAAAAGAGATTGACTGCGATCATTAACCATTTATAACCAACCCCATTTAAATGAAGACTAACATTTATAAACAATATGTGGGAATGTTGACATATTTTCTCCAAACTGCTTCATTTTAGACTTTACATATTATCCTTCTGGGGTCTTTGATGGAGTTGAAGACAGATACTTATGGTTTTCCTAAGTTACAATAAATGATGTTACATATAAAAGTTTAGACTCACAAAGATAGATGATACAACATTTTCATTAAATTTTGCCAAATATTAGTGGACTAAATTTTGGAACTGTAATTCTTGCTTGATAACTGTTTTGTTACATAAGTTTTACTATGTTAAAATAAAAACCATCCTTTTATTTAAACAGAAAAGAGGAGGTGATGGAGGATGTCCTTCTGTGTGCTGTGAATATATATTTCTCTTATTGATTGATGAATAAAGCTGTTTCAGTTAATGAAGACAGGATCAGCCCATTTACCCTGAGGGAGTGGTAAGAAGCTAGTGGCCAGCTGCTTTGACTTTCTGATATTAGCTTGAAGTTTGAAACTCAGTAACAGTCTCTGGGTCTTTACCTTTCATTTCACAACTGACTTAAACCATCCCTGATGAATATTTTGGTGTCCAACAAGCCACAAAATATTCAAACAATAAGACAAATTTATATTAACATTTTACCTGCTTTAATTTAATCAGGTAATAATCAATAAAGTCCCGAGGGTTTGCAACATCCAATGATACCTGATGTTCTTTGATATTCTCTGAAAGGTAACTTCTGATATATCTGACATTTTTTGTTATTGTGTGATGACTTCCTGGACAGTAGTCAATTAGTGAAGGGAAATTATTGCAGACCTACAAAATCAAAGAAATTTTTGATAAGATGCATTGTTTTATTTTAGTGGTATGTGTGGAATGGGTATGCATGCATACATACATGTGTGTGCCATGTATTTGTGGATGCCTTAGATGCCAAAAAATCTGATCCCCAGAAAATAGTGGTTTTGAGTCACCTAACTTAAATGTCTAAAATTGGACTTTGGTCCTTTGGAAGATTAGGAAGTTTAGCACACACTCTTAATCACTGATCCATATCTCCAGCCCTTGCCATAAAACTTTTTAAAAGAACAGACATTGGGAAATAAATATACATATCCATAATATATTGTATAACCAACTTTGGTTTATATACCAATTATAGATTGGTATATATATATTCATGAATATAACATAGTTTCCCACATAAGATTTAGGTGTTTTACTTCATGTGTGTAGCAATTATCTGTGATAATAAAGAGATATATATGGGTATGGGGTTTCCTGACCAAATGATTAAAGATCTTAATCAAGTTTCCACATTCACAAATACTTTTCAGTTTAAAGAATGTTTAAGAAAATTGATATCTTATTCCTTTTATTCCATCAATTATAAAATAGGATATGATGTAAATAATTGTCATTTACAGTTTTTAGGAGATAGCAGCAGTGAAGACAGACACCTTTATTTATAGCAAAAAAAGGAGCACATGCATTTTGAACCCTTGTAAACTGGTCTATGATATGGAATTAAGTGCGTGAGGCTCCAAGAGACTTTGATAGCAAAGTGCAGCTCATAGCTTAGGGATTTCTCTGTAATCACAGCCATTCTTTTTTTAACTTGCTTTGTATTTATTTTTGTGTCCCTCACACTGTGCACCTCCATCCCATCTACCTCCACATTTCCTAGCATCCACCCTCAGTCCTTACAACCCCCAAATAAAATAAAATGAATTTAAGAGAAAAGATCTCATCATGGAAGCTGCAGTGTGACACAGAGAGTCACACAGCAAACCCCTTTATGCATATATCTTCACTCCAAGGACTTAATGGTCTGGCACAAGGCCTCTGATTTCTATTACACTATCCATTCCAGGCCCTTATTAGGAGTTTACTTGGATATCCTGTTGTTGTCCTGCACTGTGAAGATCTTGTAGCCCTGGGCCTGCAGGACCAGCCCCTCCATGTTTCCAGCAGATCACAGATGGTGTGGATGTTGAGATGCATCTACTCATAACCCTAGTTCTGGGTCTGGGTAGTTGCTGTGCTGGCCAACTCTCCACTTAACTCATGACCAGGTTCAGCTCTCTGGAATTGCCCTGACTAGTTCACCCTTATAGCAATGAGCTTCTTTCATACCCTAAAGTTGCCTCTTACACACGTGCAATATTAGTGGAAGATCTACTGTGCTACCCAGGCAAGATGCAGGGCCACTCTTCCAAATACTGCAGCTGGTAAAGTTCAGGGACAACTCTCCCACTCTGAAGACCTCAGGGCCAGCCCTCCTACCTAACAGAGGCTGCAAGAGAGGGGAAGGAATCTCTCCCCCTCACATATCACCAGAAGATAGATGAAGGGAGGAACCAGATCTCCCATGTTCACATTCTCTAGGCTGGTTCACACTCAGCCCCCGACCCAAATCAATGGGTTCAATAGGGACAGCTGTGCTGCAAGGTGGCCCAGGGAAGGTGCAGGGTCCACTTTCCCAGGTGCTGAAGCAGGTAAGGAGAAAGGACATCTACCTCAGCCAACACAGGTGGCAGCAGCCAGGCGAAGAGGGCATCTTTCCCTCACTCTTAACACCACATGGGAGATGAAGAGGAGTGGTCATCATTCCTGTTCTCACACCCTCTGAGCCAGCTTTCCTGAGCTTCTGCCAACAGGGTCAGCTCTACTTTGCTGCCTGGGCTAGGAGCAGGGCCTGCTTTCTTGAGTGCTACAGTCTGAAAGGGGAAGGGTCAGCTCCCTCATCTGTCTCAGGCAGTGAGGAGAAGAGGGCAAAGGGTACATCTCTCCCCCAACCACACCATCACTGGACAGACAGGTGGTGGGGCCAGCTCTCTCTCCCTCCTCAAAATTTCTGGGTTGAGTCACCTGCACCTTGGGCTCTTCTGGGCTGCCCAAGCAAGGTGCAGGGTTTGCTCTCCTGCATTCTGCAGTGGTGGCATCAAAGGCAGTTCTCCTGCTATTACCAGCTCAGGGATAGCTGTCCCACCTGCCACAAGCAGTGGAGGGGGAGGTCAGTTTTCCCGAACCCAAGCCACCTTATGGCTGATGAAGAGTAGAGTCAGATCCCCGAAGCATGCATTCTTTCCACACCACTGCCAGCTAACTAGAGGAAATACAGAGCCTACTCTCCCTAGTGTTGCAGCCAGTAAGTGCCAGAACCAAAACTGTGCAGCCCTTTCCTCTTGGCCTTCAGTGGTATCAGGAGATATGGATATCAACACAGACCATGGTACAATAAGGTCATGAATCTTGGCAACATCAGAGTCCCAGATTTCACCAAGGCCTGAGTGGCAATCAAATCACCCACCTCAGCCCTCTTCAAATCTATTAAGCTCTGCAGCTTTGTCTCTCTCAGCAGGACATGAACCATTCTGACTCTATTTTTCCCGTACCATATCATATATTTGCTTAACATAGTAGTGTCTTACTGGTGCCTTGTTACCCTGAATGCCCAGAACATAGCCATTCTTTATGGAGAGTTCAGGAGGTGCCACTTCTGCTTAGGACAACTATGAGAAGATGGATGTGGGCCACACAGCATTAAATAACTCATCTTCTCTTGTCTACCTCTCTGTTTGTCTACTAGGATTCTAGCTGACACATCAAACCACTGAAACTACTGTGTTTCCTGGCAGATTTCATTGTCATTAATATTCTTTATCCTTTAAGCGAATATACTTTCTAAACAAAAATATTCCTGCCTAGTAATATGATGAGGATATATATATATATATATATATATATATATATGTGTGTGTGTGTGTGTGTGTGTGTGTGTGT